TTTGTTTCTTTTACCCGGTAGATCATTTGGATTGCACAAATGAAGTAACTAGTTAACCGATAAGCGCCTGCAACCCATTTTCTAGGCTAGAAACACACTCAAACGCCCCTGCGATTCTGAACTAATGCGTATAGAAGGCATGGCGTACTCACGAAGGAATCGAAACAATCGAAATCAAACGCTATACCAATCAAGTGCCTTAGCCGTCCATCTATTATAAAGCTCCCCGATGCAGGAAGGGTTACGACAAAGTGGAGACAAGCCAGAGAAAAAAACAAGCAAATTAATAAACAAGCAAACAAAACAATTGATGGTAGAACAACTCACCTTTAAGTGCTCCCCTTCGAGTTTCTGAAACATCAGGGCTCCGAGAATGATATAGAGCGCACAGCTGACGACAAGCATCAAATGGGGTGAGAAAAACCGCGCCATGATTACCTTGAAGGCGAGCCTGAAGTAGCGAGACATATAAGTACTACTTATCAGCCTGACTTCGAAGATGCGCCATGCATTCGACAACCTTTCCGACGGCAATAGCGTCGCAGTGGGTCATGGGTATCATAAGCAGATACGATGAACAGGCAATGCGAGGTTCAGTCTTACAAGCTTTCGCTCAGAAGAAATTCGAAAATGTAGTCAAAAATGAAAGACAGGGTCAGTGTTAATAAAAAAGCTCTGGACCATTAGGTAGACCATCATTTACAAGAAAACCCCTCCAAACGCAGTACCAACCTTAGCCCTTTCGTCACTCATCCTCACAAACAACGGAAACCACCCCGCCGTAGTCACCGGAGAATAAAGTGGAAAGTTCTAGTGAGGTGATTGGGGTGTCTACCCTCCCCGCTTGATGGATGTTGAGATCGTATCGGTAGAAAAAACGAAGAGCGGGGATCGAACGGGAGGAGAGATAATTGGGGAGGGGGGGGGGCGCCGAGGAAGATTTTCTATCGAGCTACTGATCCGTGCCGATGTTTTGCGCCAAACAGCCTCACGAACTCCCTGTCTTTATTCTATATGCTTTCCACTCGTTACAGTCATCCCTGTCTCGCTTTAGTCTGAGTGAGAGGTGTGGAACTTGTGAAATGGGTGGAATGGGGCATTCAAAAGTTCGTCTGGGCTATGATGCTCAAAATTACTCATAATTAATTACTACAATAGAAATTTTTACATTTTCTAGGACAAGACCCATGCGTTTACGAAAGTAGGAAAACTCGCTGCCCCAAGCTACCAAAGCTGCCCACTTTCATGACCCAGGCGTATCTGCAGAATATTTGCGTGTGTCGCCTGCTGAACGCCACATTCGAGTAACAGGTCCTCTCGTTTTTAACCCATTTTTGTCCTTCACGGCTCTGGAGCTTTGGTATGATTGTTAACTTTCGACCATTACAAAACTGCAATAAAAGTATGACCGCTGTCTCTCCTAAAAACTGCTATCCGCTAACTGCCTCTGAGCGGGATAAGCATTTTTTTTTGGAGAGCGCAGTCTCATATGTCAGGGGTGCTCCCAGCTGTGGGGGCGGAGGTAGTATAGTGGCAAATGATGTCTATTTCCAGGGGCTTGATGCGGGATCGAGTAATCCACTTGGAATGAGTGAACATGTCCTTTCTCCAGGGTCGATTAGTTGGCCGAAACTCGTTTGGGAGGAGAAAGCACTGATTTTTAAATCGACACTTTCCACGCTACTAGGCCATCGCATTAAAACTACGGTCTTGATTCTGGGTGAAATGCGTGGCGCGTTCAACGGAAGAAACAACGTGCAAAACCACTTCCTATTACGGCATGCCGTTAAAGTAGATGTCAAGCATATTGGCAAAGAAGGAGACACTATTTAACTACTTCATAACACTTTTTTCAAATTAGACTTTCTTTTTACAGAGAGGCGTACAAGATCAAAATTATACAGCAATGTTATTGAGAGATCCTTGCCAGTTTTTGGACAGTTCGTGGATGCCATCGCTTAACAATGCACGCCGGCGCGACGCAAAGTTGGACATCATCTCAACTTTGACTTGGGCTCAAGTCGTGGAGGTTTTCTCGGCTGTATAACGGTTGAATACGGGAGGCGACTAGCAGTCAGAAAGAGCAATGTCTGGACTACACCGGTGCAAGGGGAGAGCCATCCAGCTCTATTGCATGAAGTACGGCTCGAACTTTTTTGACGGGGTGTGCTGCACCAGCACGTTGAAGACGGACTGGATTTTGCCCTCTGCTTGACGATTCGCTTCAGATCTCGTAGCTGCCTTGCGTACGGATTGACCGAGGAGGCAGCTTCTTCATCCAGTAGTTTCCCGACCCACCGCTATCTAGAGCTGAGTTTACAGGTACTCCCGAACCTCACTTCGTCATTCGAACCGTAGGCTCCCGCTCTGAAGAGCTAGCGTCGTGGAAGATTGTCTGACTGTAGACATTGTCCTTGTGCAGCTCCATTATTTCGGCGTCGACAGCTGCCATGCTGGCGCCAGGGTGGTAGAAGAAATAGTTTAAGGAAGCGCTTGAAGGGGTCGTGCCGAAGGTAGCGGATAACATTCTTGTCCATATTGCAGAATAAGGAGAAGCAGGAGTCAAGCCAGTGATACCAATAGAAAGACCAATCCTTAATGTATAATGCTCACATTACCGGTTACCCTCTTCAGGTAATAGGCGAATACTTGGGTTCAAAAAAGTATGACAGAACTTTCCCGCCAACCTAATAGTAAAAACACCATTTCATCTTTAACTAGACACGTCTGGTAAGCCAGCTGCAAAAGGGTGTCATAGTAGTCCTGCAATAGACAGAAAAGACGGTGGCAGGAGGTGGCACTTCGTTCACACCGCCCACTAAGCTTCTGCACCTCACGAGGATCGTGGGTGATCTAATTGGCGCTGCTCTCTTGGAATGGTTGCAGAAGATACTTCAAGGATTTTACAAACTTCTTTAACTCTGACAAATCCTTCGTGGAATAGCACCACACTCGACTTCTGGTCAGAATTAGAAGTGCATTCATTCAAAGATGTTTCCGGTCTACCCATATGAGTTTCTAGGAGGAATAAGTGCAACTATCCTCCTTATTTGTTGAGAATCATCAGACTCCAGAGGAACCAGCTATTGTTTGAGCTGAGCGAGACAAGATCCAAGATTGGATGATGGGAGTCCAAGCGTAAAGCAACGAAGTTGTTTACCGTTCATTAACGCATCCCCGTCAGAACATGAAAAATTTGTTATACCCAAGGCACATCATTAGTTGGGGATTTTAGTCGAGTCCGTACAACCTCTCCACTTTTTTTGGAGAGTTGGTACGACCCCTTGGTTCCCTGCTCATCGAGCTGACCTCCTTCTCTACCATTTCTTAGATTTTCTCCAACTTCCTACCACTTCTTTCAGAATTTCTCGAAAATTTTCCTCTTTTAACCCAAAAACTTTACTGGTGAGCGGGGGAGGGGGGAGGAAGGTAGGGTGTATAGTACATATGAAACAGGAAAAACCATGAAAAGTCAGCATTCTCTCTAGGAAGCTCAGAAGGTAAATACGTCCCCGCCGCCTCCCCCGAGAGCGAGCGAATACGACCTTCCCTCATGACAACGTCCCTGAAACAAGAAAAACGACAACGTCCCTGAAACAAGAAAAAACAACTATCGAAAAAATTTTCTCATCCTAATACGACTTCATCTCCTAGCGACCAGGTACCCCTCCCCCCTGTTGGGGAATCCCCAGCAACGACGTGCTCTGATTATTTGGTCGAACCCAGACTTGAAGCGGTTTTAAATCTAACTGATGCGATCTTTGTGGGCAGTGGGTCAAACTACCCTTGGGACAAGTTTAAGCGAATTCGGCGCGGGCGCCAACATGTTTTGGGCCAAGCGGATGTGATATATTCGTGCTCGGGGCCTAACCACCCCGGGAAACAACTTTTTGGTCAAGTCTGCCACTGGACAAAGAAAATTTGTCAAAAACTGCCCCGATTTTGGAAGATTTGGGCAGTAAACGGTAAATAATGCCCTGGAAAATTTTTATAATCAAAATTATTAATTTATCCAATTTCTGCCAATAAAGTGTTTGTCCTCATCTTTCTAACCCGAGTTCGAACTCCTCGCCTTTTTTTTGAATTACTGCCTTGGTGACAGGGCGTACGAGAACTCGAAAACAACCCAGCGGGATTACTGCTGTCATTTCACCTTTACTCATAGTGAATCCCTTGCTCATAATGTTCTCACTGGAGCTTATTAGGGGATTCCTGGTATTTTACTAAGCAGACCTACTGTAAATAACTACCTTCTATGGTGCTATCCTTCCTGATATCGTAGAAATTAATTTTTTACGCAGACTTGGTCAAAAATAGGCCTGCGAGAAGTTTTGCCCCCATAAAACCGAATATCACCTTGGTCCAGCCCGAAAACTTCGCGTTTCTGCCCTGTGGGTGCCAATGACACAACTTTGCTCAACACAGGTCAGATTTGAAAATGACGGTGACGAATCAAAAAGAGAGCATGAGTTCTCAGTTTTGTAAGCTTAGCTTAGCAGTCCCTAGGACGAAGTCACGCATACAACTCTTATTGAGGACCATTGAGAATCATAAATTATGTTTTTTTGCTGAAAGTCTTGAATCCCTGGAGAGGACAATGTGAAGGAGGGATTAACTGGAACTAACGCGGGATGACAACAAAAATCCAGCGGCTTGACTGATTATGTTTTGGGTTCGGAGAGCTTAGCCACCATTGGAATGGCAAACGTGAAAACTGGTATTTCTAGTGGTCACAGGAATATGGACATTTACTGTACTTGATTGGGACGGTCGGAGATGAGGGACAAAGTAGTGGGGGCTGAGCAATCTTTGTGAGGCATTCTTACAAATTTTATTTTTATAGAGGCATTTCAGCACTTTTTCAGGCTATACAGGGGGGCCAAAAAAAAGTCATTTTGCCTCCATGACTTTCAAGGCGCTATAAGTTACACTTTATTAAATTTTTATCGGACATTTTTACTACCATATTAAAGAGCACATTAAATACTATAATGATACTCCGCCACAGCCTTCTGGAGGAGCGCCATCGAGAGATTCGGCCGCGCGAAAAGGAGGGGGCTGCCGCTGGCGATTCGAGTGGGTACCGGAGTTGAGCGAGATCGTTGATTTCTCCGCCACCGTAGACCACCCTATTGAACTCCGCCCGAACCGGGTAATTGAGGGGATACAGGTCAGGTGACCTACTTGGATATTCTACCTTCTTTAGGTATTCAGCCCCCTTCCATTCCAAGTAGGCGGGAGTTTTTCCAAAACCCTTTGATTCCATGTGGTGGCACCCAAACCTGTAGCAGCACAAGGTCTCCAAGAAGGTACGGGCGACCACATGTAGGGAGGATATTCTTCTCGAGTTACTTGATGTAACCGCCAGCGCTCACCTTCAGTCGGGGTCTACAAAGAAAATATCGGTCTTCCCCTTTCCAGGTACCCCGGTCCATACCATCAACTCGCGCCTCGGCGAATACGGTGAA